GCAGTGGTGTAGGGTCCTCTTAAAGTGTAACTCCAGGGATTTTTTTAGGGTATTTATTTTATGGTCTTAATATGATTGCCTGACCATAATAATGATGTGTTCCAACTCCTATTGTCTAAAAAAATTTATTCACTGAGATATGAGCCTTCAAAAATGAACTTTTTGCTTCCTGCCAATTTACTTCCTGTCGGTGGGTGTGGCTAAACGTGACGTCATAAGAGGCATAGATGCAGATAACTCCATTCCTTTATAGGGGGAAATAATCTTTTATTCTCATGCCTTGTAATGTAATAGCACTAATTTAAAGATTGGGATCATTAGCTTTCATTATTCTAAGCATGCAATTGCAAGAAAAAGTCATAATACCACACTTTGGTGAACCTTCTTATCATAGGCGGCTGCAGGCCTAAGCATTGGGAGTCATTGTCTAGGCTAAAGATTACTTTTGAAGCAGAAACAATGCTATTATAAGCTTATTTATCCTTTTTACCACACCCTTTTAATTATAAATGCCTAAGCTGAGTTGGACCTCTACAGCCACCTGTAAATCTGTATTGGTAAATCTGCTTGCTTGCTTCTTTTGAGTTTTTTTCTTGCAGTTGCATGATAATGAAAGCTAATGATCCAAATCTTTAAATTAGTGCTATTACATTACAAGGCATGAGAATAAAGGATCATTTCCTCCTATAAAGGAATGGAGTTCAACTTATCTACATCTATGTCTCTTATGACGTCATGTTTAGCCACACCCATTGACAGGAAATAAATTTCAAGGAGGCAAAAAGTTCATTTTTGAAGGCTCATATCTCAATGAATAATTTTTTTTAGACAATAGGAGTTGGAACACATCATTATTATGGTCAGGCAATCATATTAAGACCATAAAAGAAATACCCTAAAAATCACTGCACTTACACTTTAATTATCACACCAGTTTGCAAGTACCTCCTTTTTTACTTTGTTCCCAATTCAACCCTACTACTATTTGTCCCATTTTAGTGTTTTTAAACTTTATTTACATGTACATGTACAAAGAGAAAGTATTCATTTTATTTCTTTATTTTAGCCCCAGGAGTATTGTCTTGTTAATAATGTTCATTTTGTGGTTGGTCCACCTACATTCTGCTCCATCACACTAAGTAAGTACATGTTCATGTACATTAATAACTGTAGACATGATGAATGTACTATTAATGGGTGAGTCTAAGCAAGCAAACTGTCACATTATAATGTTAATGTCAATACCTTCATATATGCATATATACATACAGCACATGTGTATACTGTATTTCCTTAAATAAAAGCCCAGGCATATATTTCCTAAAGTGCTATTTGGATCTCGAAAAAATATATAAAAAATTAAAAAAACTTCAGCCCAGAGATGGGTTCGAACCCATAACCTCATACTTTTGACTTCTGGAACTTCGGGCATTATCCACTAGACTACTGAGTCACTCCTAGGCTAGTGTTGCGTATTTATACTTAAATTGTATTGCTACCCCGGCGTTTATTTGAATGCGGCTTCTATTTAAGGATTTATGGTATATGTATATGATAAAATTGTCATGCTGCTATATCTTTCATGAAATGCCCATTTAAAAGCTTTTGCTTAATTAAATTACTTCAAGTATTCAGTAACTTAGAGTAAAGAGTCATTATTCTTATAGTCTTTAATACTGTAATCTCTTTCTTGATCTCTTGATTTACAAGCTCACATGCTTGATTGCTTAGATCTTGTCAGTATCAAGTCAATAAGGAAGTTACACTGTTATACACTGTAGCAGTTTCAGTGTAACTGTAATAACAATCACAGGAAGTAGTTGGATCGGATCACATGATACAAACTTGATTATTGCCATAAGAACAATGGCCCAGTTCAGTAAAGAAGAGCTTTCTTTTGTTGAGGATCTTCCTAAGCATATGGAGATAGAGTGTCCAGTTTGTCTTAATATCTTGACAGATCCTCATCTGGTGAGCTGCTGTGGACATAATTTCTGTGGGTCTTGTATTGAGAGATTAAAAGCTAGTAATGGATCCTGTCCTTTGTGTAAAGAGAAGGAATATCAAGCAATGGTTAATAAAGAGCGATTTCGTATCATCAATGGATTGGAGGTCTACTGCAGTAATAAGGAGAAAGGATGTCAATGGAAAGGAGAATTGAAGAATATGTCTACTCATCTTAATAAAGAGAAGAGAGAAGGAGAATGTCAATATGAAGAAGTAAAGTGTCGATATGAGAAATGTCAAGAGAGAAAGCAACGTAGATATCTTAAGTATCATGAAGATAGAGAATGTCCTCAACGTCCATTTCAATGCCAATACTGCAGGAGGAAAGGTACGTTCCTCTCTATTACAAAGGATCATTATGAGGAATGCAGGCAGTATCCTGTTACTTGTCCCAATAAATGTTCATCTACTAATATGCCACGAGGTAGTCTCACTGCTCATATCAATGAGTGTCCATTAGAGCCAGTAGATTGTGTGTTTAGTTGGGCTGGCTGTAATGATAAGCCATTACGTAAAGATGTACATGTACACACTGCTGATACTATGCACATGACACTATTAGCTGTAGCTTGTGGACAATTGAAGAAAGAAAATGAACAAATGAAACAAGAAATATCAAATTTGAAGAGTCGTCCTTACCATGAGTATCCATTGTTACCAATTGGTGTTACTAAAGGAAGACCAGCAGTTCATTTTTATTTTAATGCATGTGGTCGACACATGTCAGCTAGAGCGATGGTTGGAAACATATCAAGTGGTCTTTTTGGTGATACTGCAGATTACTTCATATTTCTTGCATTTCATAAAGGAAATTTTGATCATTTCAAACCAAAACTTCCTAAAGTATTTTTTGCAAAGTGTGGAACTGAAGTTAAACGATTAGTAGTAGACACTTATAAACCATTACCTCATGATATTCTTAATGGAATCAAGCAGAATGAGTCGGGATATGATACATCTACTCTACCACAAAATGTAATTGAAATAAAATTCTACAGGTGTCGGCATATTGTTGATACTGTTACAATTTGTACTTCACAGTACTAGTGTGTGCATTGTGTTGATGTTAATTAATAACTACTATTGTTTAAATTAAAAATTAAAAATTATCTCATGATATTTTTATGATAGCATTCAGTGGAAGAGGAGGCTGAATAATTTGCAGAGTCACGACAGCCAATGCAGTACATTCTCTATTGTTAGAGCTGCCTCTCTTTTTGTTAACTATGACTATACCACTTCTATTTACTTATCAATTGTCAATTCCATTCCAAAATATTTTGTCCTCTGTTCTAAATATTTCGTACTCATTTCTTTTCTTCTTTCTCTCTCATTGTATTATTGTTGTTTGTATATTATTATTTTTTTTTTATTATTATTTCTTATACCCATTTTCATTTTGGAAATATTATTATTGTTATAATGCACACACACATTTTCATTTTGGAAATATCATCTTGTATTATATTATTATAATGCACACGCATTCATTTTAATTTTTTCCCTATGGAAGTAAACTTAAATGAAGAAAACTATATTATTATTATTATTATTATTATTATTATTATTATTATTTTTATTATTATAATTCAGAGTGATTATTGAAATAAAACTATCGATGTTTACAATTATCAAAAATAATAATGTTATAAGTATGCACTACTAGATAATGTCATTCAACTTGTAACTCTAACAGTGTAAATTGTAATAAGCTGATGTTGACTGGAGCAATGTTCTTAAAATGATGGACATTTTTAAAGAAACATTTAAAATTTTTATTAACAGCATAACAAATTATATAAAGCAGCAAATACATTATGCTACTATTAGTTTTAGCAATAGACACGGTAATTATAATAATAAATTAAAAAAGCACAGGTACTAAAATACTAATAATAAGTAATATCAATGCATATAAACACATTCAATAAAAGTTAATGTATAAAAGCTATGGCATGTAAAAGAAATCTCATTTCAATAAAAAGTGGAGCAGAAACAAGTACACAAACTATTAATGCTCATAAACAATACAACATAATATACAATACAACAATGAATGATTTATAATAACAAAAATAAGAATAATAAACCAGAGGAAATCATCATAATGCTGCATATTGTATAACAACTACCAATAGAAATAATAAATAAATACTGAGCATTACTTTACTGTAAAAAACATTATCAAAAATAGCAATAATTGCCCTGCTGCGAAAATGAAAAAAAACTACCTAACAAGAAGTGTCCATTATTCTTGAAGGTATTAAAGTTAACGAGAGAGAGATTTGATGCCATAGTGTTAATATAATGAAGAAAGGAAACGATCGAATGTGTT